CATCTTTGGCGATTTTTTTTTTTTTTTTTGGCTAAGCAAAATGATCTCAAAATTTAGAGGCATGTACCTCACATCATAGAGAACTCACAAAAAAAAAAATCAAGAAAAAATAATAATTTTTAGGCCCCGAAATATTTTTTGGCGGTGTCCGAACCTCTTTAGGTTCGGAGGGGTTCAACCCCCGAACGCCCGAACGTACGAAGTTTGGCCCGGGGGCCTCCGTACGTACGGGCTGGTAACCATGCTTACAACTATAATAAATAAACACCCAGTAAGTACTTAGTTTTCCTATAACACATGATAACTTTTGGGTTACGTGGGGAAACTGTCCACCAGAAACGAATTATGCTACATCCCTTGCCATGGAAACAACTTTGACCGAGACTTCTACTCGTGGATAAAGAGTCCACAATTGTGATGCACTGGTCCGTCAATTCATTTGTGTGGAAAAAATGATGGTTGGAATAAATGAACACCAACTTGAAATAAGTATCTTGTTTGCCTAAAACACATGATAACTTTAGGGTTGTTAGGGAGAAGTGTCCAATGGAAGGAAAAAAAATGTTACGTCCCGGACCATTGAAGTACCATTTTTTAATCTTGCTAAAGACGTATTTGGCCAAGGGAAACCTATGAATAGGAGCAGTTTTTTTTTTTTTTTTTAAATAAAGTTTCAATAATGTTGCTCAAAGATGCGTCTATTTGTGGTTTGCTCCTCAAACAACTACGTATATTGAAATGCCTATTGAATTTGAAATATTTTCTGCAACTCCCTGTTGAAAGGTGTAGGAGTGAATTACAATATCTTTTCTAAGCTGCATATAGCCAGATATATTGCCATTTTCCCACCGAATGTTACGCATAAGCGTTTTCTATAGGCTTTTTCCCATTAAAAAAACGAATTTGGAAAAGTTGGCCTGTTTTTTCATATAAAATGACACACTGAATATAGCACATACGTGCTGTATCCGAATAGAACGGATATAGGTTCTATTCGGATTGTTGATGAACAAATGACTTTATTTGAATATTACACTCAAACTCCCTTTCTTTGACCCGTTTATTGGTGGCTGTTTATCACCGAGGGGGGAAGCCCCACCTCGATGAGTCCTATGTTTGCACCCTCCATATAGGGTGGGGTTGTAAGCCAGAAAGGTTCGTATTTTTTGTTCTGGAGTGCGTTTCCAGGCTTGGGACGGGAAGGGTCAAAAGTACTACAGGGTTAGTGGTATAAGGGCCAGATCCCACTGGCCCCTATTGTTCATTTCTGACCGTTGATCTTCGTAATCGAGGGTGAAAAATGAATAATCCAGGGTAGTGGGATCTGACCCTAAGAACCCAACCTGGGCATATGCCCTATGTTTTGGGAAGACGGGATGCCATCTGGAAAAGTTGAACTGGGACTCTCTTGGGGCATACTTGAAAGATGTCAGACCCAAACGACGCTCGGGATATTTCGCAGATTTAAACCATCGTCAGAGGGGCATGCCAGTGCAGGGAGATCATTTGAGGGCCAGAGCACAAAAAGACGCATCTTTGAGGGGCATAAAGAAACTCCCTCTCTCTTTTTTGGGACCATTGTTTTGCCGCCCTACCTAACGGCTGTCTTGCTCGAAATAACGGCCGAGTGGCCATTCATCGAACCCAGGTCTCGGGCCTTACCGGACCTGCGAGACAGACCACGTGGTAGGTACGGAAAGCAGCCACCACCAGCCGTGGAACGTCTTCCTGACCTGCGCGAGCCACACCACGTGGCTCAGACATCAAGGTCGGGGCTCGGAGGAGCGGGCATGCGTGGCGGACGCCGACGCCGGGTGTCGCACATGCCGCGGGGGCCTGCCTGATTTGGGCCCACGTGGTCGTCGAAGGCCGGGATCCCGCCTGGGCGTCTCTGCACCCGATGATGACCTGCGCCATGGCGACGTGATGCAGCGCAGTGTGCAGCAGAGAGGCGCTGGATCGATCGACTTGCCACGTGGCAAGGTGTGGCCTCTCCGCAATACTCCCTTCCTCGTCCTTCTGCTTCTGCTCTCCTCTGAGCGTTTTCCCTGTACTTCGCGGGTATAGTCACACCAGAACCTTCCAGAATGCATCTGACCGCAATTACAACCAGATCTGGATGTCTCTAACGGCAATTACACGCAGAGAGTGCTCAGTCGAAAGTACTACCTTCTTCCCCCGAATACAACGTACGGTCATTATAGCTGTAATTAGCTGTAATTTGAAGCATCTTTCAGTCTAGATACAGCTATAATGACCATACGTTGTGTTCGGGGGAAGAAGGTAGTGTGAGTATGCCCTTCGTAATTTTCCTGTACTTGTCTTCTTCCTCCATCCTCCTCCCTTTCTCTTCCTCCGTTGGGGCGTCGATCCACAACTCTCGACATGCCCAAAAGACAAAAATCATGGCGGTAAAAAAAAAAATAAAAAAAATAAAAAATCATGGCGGTGCATCTTTCCATGTTCTTGGGGAGGATTCACTCTCGTTTTGCACATTTCGAGAGCAGTGGAGCGAGGCCCTTGTTCTGATCTTACACCTACTCTCATGTCCTTCTCCTTCCTCCTTCTCCTACTTCCCCTGCCTTCTGCTCGTTCCTGCTCCTCCCACCTCTACAACTACTACTACTACTACTACTACTACATCCTTCTTCTCCCTCCTTCCCGTCTATCTCATCACGATCTGCGTGCTGCCTCGGCGTACAACTTGGCAACCATTTCTTCCCCGTCTGGACAAACCTCCTCTTCCTTTTCCTCCTTCCCGTCTTCCTCCGCCCTCCTCCTCCCCCCTCCTCCTCCCCCCCTCCCAAATATCCTTCTTTCTTCTTTTGTTATCGAGAAGTGGGAAAGGAGAAGCAGTGCGAGAGGATGAGCGCGCACGTGCGCAGCGATGACGTAAGGCAGGTGATCGAACTCTGATTTTTTGTTTTTTTGTTTTTCCCGCGCTTTCCCACATGGACAAGGAGAACGGCGAACAATTCTATCGAGAAGAAAAACAAAATGCTGATGATGACGACGATGACGGTGATGACAGCGACGAGGATTATGATAATGATGGGGAGGAATAAGTCCTTTGCATATAATAAATGACGATGACGATGCGCATGATGATAATGGTGATGGTGCTGATGATAATCATGACGATGAAGGAGTTCATGATGATCATGATGATGCTAATCATGGCGATAATAAATCTGATGATGAGGATGGTAATCAAGACGACGGCGACGACGACGATTGACGATGATGATGATCATGATCATGATCACGATGACGATGATGATGATGATGATGATGATGATGATGGACCAGAGAGAGGAGTAAGTTCTACTACCTTAACAAAGAGGCAAGAGTCCCATCAGCCACATCGTCAATTATCCGATGGACCTTCCAGGCTCTTCATGGAAAAAGCTGTTTCGGTTTGATTGCAGCCGTCGATCAGGAGGTTACACGGCACTCGAGAGTATAATGCAGATCCTTCCCTCAAGGAACCCGTGATCAACTCATCGTGTTTACAGTATTATATGGATGTATATATCGTCACATGAATATCAGAGCGCAAAGGCGAAAAAAAGAGGAGAAAACAAGAAAAAAATAATTCGTTTTTTTATATCTTCCTTATTACAACTCCCCCTGTTCAGAACCTCTTGCGTACAAGGTCGCCCACGTGGATGTAGGTTGAGAGGCGGCTGCCCCCACCCCCGTGTGTCATATCGACCCACTTGCACACAGCCAAAGGGCGAAGAGACAAAGAAAAGAGGAAGGGAACAGCCAAATACAACAAAACAGGGGGCAACAAGCAACAGCACCAAAAACAGATCCTAGATGACAAGTCCCACATGCAAGCGCCGCCCCTCCTTCACAGGCCAAACGACGGGACAAGACCACCCAGGATATATATATTGACCTGTGGGCAGGGGCGGTGCTTGCATGTGGGACTTGTCATCTGCGATCTGTTTTGTTGCCCCTTGTTCTGTTTTATTTGGCTGTTCCCTTTCTCTCTTCTTTGCCTCTTTGCCTTTTGGCTGTGTGCAAGTGGGTCGATATGACACACGGGGGTGGGGGCAGCCGCCGCTCAACCTACATCCTCGTGGGCGGCCTTGTACGCAAGAGGTTCTGAACAGGGGGAGTCTTGTAAGGAAGAAGATTAAAAATGAATCAAGTTTTTCTTGTTTTTGGCGCTCTGATATCATGCGACAATATATGTGTATATATATGTATATATCGTCAAACAGAGCTGCCTACGTTGTAAACCGTAGGCAGAGAGGGAGAAAGGGAGAAGAGGACAACAAACGAGGGGCTGTGACGAACTGTTTCGTCGGAGTTTCAGCGACTCATCAGAAGGCTGAACAATAACCTTATTTATACATGCATGTGACGATATGCATACGTATAGGTTATAGTTGTGCATGTATAAATATGACAATTATTATTCTAGTTAATAAAGAAAAGTACGCCAAGAAAGAAACTCATGCCTTCAAATAACTTGAAATAGCAAAACCCATGACGTCTTTCTGCTCCGTCTCTTTCCACCCCTTGTATCCGGCCCACACTCCTTCGTCGTCTATGTCCATCCTTCAACCTATTTGTTGTCCTCTTCTCCCTCCCTCTCTGCCTACGGTTTACCGGGGAGCTCTCTATATATCGTCACATGATATCAGAGCGCCAAAGCGAAAAAACAGAAAGAAAACAAGGAAAACAAGAAAAAACTGAATTCGTTTTTAATCTTCTTGCTTACAACTCCCCCTGTTCAGAACCTCTTGCGTACAAGGCCGCCCACGTGGATGTAGGTTGAGCGGCGGCTGCCCCTGCCCCCGTGTGTATATACCGACGAAACAGTTTGTCACAGCCCCTCGTTTGTTGTCCTCTTTTTTTCTCTCGCTGCCTACGGTTTACCGGGCAGTTCTGTTTGTGACGATATATATTGTCACACTGTAAATCAGAGCGCGAAGGCGGAAAAAAGCAAAACAAGGAAAGGAAAAGAAGGAAGGAAGGAAAGCCCCACCTGTTCATCACCTCTTACGTACAAGGCCAGCCACGTGGATGACAGGTTGAGCGCTGGCTGCCCCCATCCCCGTGTGTCAGAAGGACCCACTTGCATGCAGCCAAAAGGCAAAGAGGTAAAGAAAAGGAGGAAACGAAACCTGACAGGGAAAGAAAGATAATCCAATTGTCACAAAGCGAATAACACATCCCACAGATCATATATATATGGGTGAGTGATAGTCTACTTTGATTTTGGTTAAGGTAGATTATCATTTACAGTGTAATCAGTGAGGGGATTCTGCAGACTGTTGAGGGTTCAGCCTCCTGATGAGTCGGTGAAACTCCGACGAAACAGTTTGTCACAGCCCCTCGTTTGTTGTTCTTTTCTCTCTCTCTGCCTACGGTTTACCGGGCAGTTCTGTTTGTGACGATATATATCGTCACAGAAGTGCCCGGTAAACCGTAGGCAGAGAAGGGGAGTAGGACAACAAACGAGGGGCTGCTCGTCGGAGTTTCACCGACTCATTAGGAGGTTGAACCCTCAACAGTCTGCATAATCCTCTAAACTGATTACACTGTAAGTGATAATCCACCTTAACCCCGGTTATGGTTGGTTAAGCATCAACGACTGCCGGACAACTGATACCCTCCTGAGGTGGTGGGGACCACCAACCACTGCCGTCAAGGTACATGTGTGTAACGAAAATCAAAGCAAACTATCACTCACCCACCCAACCACCAGATGGAAAACTCTACGGACTGCTGGTTCACACCCCATCACAAGCCCGCAAACATTTATGTATACATATATTATTTACGATGAGGACCTGGTAGCGTTGGGATATGGCGTTGTCCTTTTACTCTTTCAGGAAAATCATTTCCGGTTCTACTTCCGCCAGCTTGTCCTTTTTTCCGTTTTTTCTTACGTACTATTTACTGTATTAAAGTGTATTTCAAATTAACTGAGATTTGAATAACTACAGTAATTGATGACGCCTTATATTTGAATTCATGTCCCACCAGCCATCCAGATGCGCGCGAACCACTTGTGTAAGTAACTGCGATGGAAGCCCTATCTTCCCCCCTGCCTACCCGCGCTCAACCTGCGCCGCTCAACCTGCGCCGCTCAACCTGCGCCGCATGACTTGCGCCATTGCGTGGCGGAGCACGCGGCGGAAGGGAGGCGGCTACTGGTTGTGCGCCGGAGATGAATGAGTTCTCTTTTCTACTCCCCTTGCCCCTTGTTCCTCTCCTGAACGACCTCCTCTTCTCCTCTTTCTCTCTCTCTCTCTCCTTCTGCTCTTTTTTAATCCTTGATTCTCTCCTACTGCTGCCTACTCCATGTCTTTCTTCTCTCGACCCGCTCTCCTTCTACTTGTTGTTCTCCGCGGTGCTCATCCTCAAGGCTCTTGGTCTTGGTTTCCTCCTCAAGGTCCCTTGCGTCGAGTCCAAGGCCTCGGCCTCATTGTCTGTTTACACCCCCGCTTGCTCCCGTCTTCACCGGAATACGGTCATTATCGCGGTATCTAGACCGAAATTTGTTGGGTAAAAATACAGCTACAGTGACCAAGCGTTCTATTCGGGGGAAGGAGGTTCGTTTAATTTTCCTCTTAGTCATCATGTGGACGCTATCTTGGGATTAAAAAGGCATTGCCGCTGTTTTTCCTCCGTCTCGACGAATCTTTGCTTTCGCCTCTTCTCTTTTTCCTCTTCTTTCTTCTTCCTCTTCTCCTTTACTTCTTCTTCTTTTTATTATTATTATTATTATTTTTTTTTTTCTTCGTTCTTTTACCGTGCTGTATTCTTTCAGTGTTCAACCGACTAACGTGCTCAGAAGCAACTTGGTCATCATTGCTTGTTAGTGTATTACAACTCTCTTTTTTTTTCGCTTTCGTCTTCTTTTTCTTGTTCTTGTTCTTTTTGTCGTTTCCATGTTATTTTTTCTTGTTGTTCTTGTTCTTTTCCTTTTCCTCTTCTTGGAGGGGCTGGAATGCAGTGGGAGAGCAGAAGGGAGGGACGAGGATGGCCGCTGACGTGCGCTGTTATCAGATCGCAAAGCTTTGCTTGATCTAACATGCATGCAGGCAGTGTTTCTCTCTATTTGGAAAGGCCGACAAGTTTGCCGTTAACCCATTCAAACATTATATTGTTTTGCCTTGTGTGTGTGTGTGTGTGTGTGTGTGTGTGTGTGTGTGTGTGTGTGAGAGAGAGAGAGAGAGAGAGAGAGAGAGAGAGAGAGAGAGAGAGAGNAGTCAAGTTGTCTGGTTGCTTTCATTGCTGTAGTTGTAGGCTAGGCTGTAGAGTAGATAGGGCGCCGGGCGCCATTCACAAGAGAGAGCTACATTGAGTTATGCTGTTGGTGTTGCCCTGTTGGGAATGGACATTGACTCACGATTCTTCTGTATCATTCTCAATTGGATGGTTACTCGGTTCCATTGTGCTATCTGCTCTGGCTTTGACTACTTGGACTTCAGTGTGATTTTGCATTCTGGATTTCTGTGCTTCGTCCATATTCATGTTCCTTGCACATTGCTTTTCTTAAGATCACTAAAGACACAGCTGCTATGATCCTGGTAAGCTCCCAACGCAAAGCTCACAAAGAGACAATGCCATTCAATTGCAATTGAATGAACATGATTGGAAGAAGAATTAAGACAAGGGAGGAAGAAGCACGAAGAATAGAAAAAAAAGATCGAGGTGAACACGTGTTGGAGCCAATGTCCTCTCTCCCTCACCTCGCCTCCATCATCCCCCTGGTCATCATCTCCACCGTTAAATTATTATCACTAATAATCATGGCTACCATGCGGACATCCGGACGGGAATCCAGACGGTCTGGGGTCCGGTGTCCAGATGCCGGACGGTAGGAGGCCCGTCCGGAGGGGTGCGAATTCCCAAAATTCAAAAAAATTAGGGGGTGCCCTGGGCCAGTTCCTTGGGTCCAGGGCACCCCCCAAAAAATGTCAGGTGGAATTTTGGGGCCTGTACCGGTCGTTTAGGGTGCCTGGACCGGCCCCATTTTCGCTTTTTTGTACTCAGTGCTACCCGCCCTCACAGCACACTTTGCAGACCGTTGGCTGCTTGGGGCAGTCCGAGAATTGCCGCCTGCAGCACCGCCCGCCTGCCATTTTAAGGCGCTCCGGATAGGTAGGCCGCCATTCGATTCGAACACACCTGGAAGCAACTTGGAGCGCATGCCTGAGAGAGAGAGAGAGAGAGAGAGAGAGAGAGAGAGAGAGAGAGAGAGAGAGAGAGAGAGAGAGAGAGAGAGAGAGAGAGAAGAGAGAGAGAGCAGAATGATTCAAAATTTGATCACCAAGGTATGGTTTGTGATTGATTATTGTTTTCTTTCTTTGATCGAAAAGCTCATCACAATCTTTGTCTTTCTTTCTTTCTCACCTTCACTTTCTCTCTCTCTCTCTCTCTCTCTCTCTCTCTCTCTCTATCTCTATCTCACACACACACACACACACACACACACACACATAACGACACCCACGCACACACATCGAGGTATAAAATGGCTAACCGCGGAGGTGCAGGGAACGCAGCCCTAAGGGCCCCGGATTTGTTTTTGATTTTTTTTTTTCTCTTAGAACCATTAGACGTCTGGTGCCATAGAATCGGCGTTCCATAATGCGACGGGTTAGAGAAAAAAGAAAGAAGTGACGGGTTTGTTGGCCTCTGAGCAATGGGTATTGCCTCTCGGCAGCGTCCTTGTTCTCTGGTTTCCTCTCGTCCTCTGGTTTTGTCTACGCAAGAAATCTCTTTTTGGAGCCATTGCCAAAACCCTTCATGGAGTCGTTAGACACTGCTCAGGGCGTCCTCGAGCCCCGGGGACGAATCCTCGGGGAAATTTTGTTTTTTTTGAGGCTTGGTTCCACCTGTCCTCGGGGAATGGCTCCGAGGACGAATCATCGGGGCCGCGGCCAGTTTCATACACGGCCGCGGGAGGCATGTCCGTGCTCCGGTTCGGGATGTCCGTCATGCGGCCACTTGGTCCACAGGCGGAGGGCCCGAATACGTGGGAGCCATGAAAAACTTAAAAGGCAGGAATGTCCCCGGGCAGTCTCATACGAATACACGGCCGCGGGCCGCGGCAGGCATGTCCGTGCGCCGGTTCGGGAAGCCCGTAATGTGGCCTCTTGGTCCACAGGCGGATGGCCCAAATGCATGGGAGCCATGAAAAAATTAAAAGGCGGGAATGTCCCCGTCCGAACGTCGAATTTTGAATTCCGGCGAGTGACGACGGCAAGGCTGTGCACAGGAGTGGGGCAGTGTATAGCTCGTTTTCCTCATCTTCCAATCTTCGTGGGGGGCATGGTTGCCTCTTTCAGTGATGACGCCGGAGCGCAGTGTGCAGTGTTCTGTCATCAGCTCGGCTCCTTCATTAATGGCGCGGGGCAGCTTGGAGCGCAAGGTTGAGCGGGCGTAGTCATCCGCTGTGTCATCGCCATTCGTGCTCGCCTGGAGGACATGCAGAGTGCGGCCGACGTGGAGTGTGAACGCGGGCGCTGAGGAAGCGCCTGCACAGCAAGGAGGCAAGCTCGTCAACAATGGAGGGTGGGGGGGGAGTGCTGTGCTCACGTCCGTGGAAAAGATGACGGTGGCAGCAGCGGCGCTGGCTGTTGTCGTACGCTGTGAGGTGGAGAGAACGTCTGCTCGCAGGAAGGCGAAGCTTTTGAGGCGCAGTCAAAGGCTGCTCTTACAAAGAGTGGTTGACACCCCTGACTGCATGGCGACTTCGGAGGCCGTTGTCCAGCTGTGTGCAGCACTGGGTTCCGATGTGCTCCCTCGCGCGTCGCGAAAGATGGTGGATGAAACGGAGAACAGCATTGGGTCGTCCAGGCGCCTGCGAGCATCCACGGGAGCGCATCGCTGGTGTGAAGATCCTCCCGGCCCTGCTGCCAGCGTGCTGTTCGTCAGGTGGTTCTCCATCTTCCTCGCCTTCTTCAACGACCGCCTAGTCTGTTTCCTCCCTGGAATTCGCCCCAGGCAACACAAGTGGAACACGACAACCACCAGGAGCAGCACAGCAATGAGCAGCAGTAGTGGCGGCCTGCGGTGCGGGTCAGCCATGAATGGCACTGAAGTGGAGACAGCACAGGCACGTAGCTTGTCGCATCTGCAGACGGTGACGACACAGGGCAGCTTGAAACACGACAAGGAGAGCACAATCGTCCATGGAGCGGCCATCAGCACGGTTAAAAAATCCAGATTTCGGTTGGAAATGCTGCTGGAACGCCATGAACCCCCGACGAGCCGCCTGAAGATGCCCACGCGCCAATGCCAACCCCTGAGGAGCCACCTGGAGATGCCCACACGCCATGCCGCGAATTGCTGTCAGCGGTAAAGTCCGGAGGCCGTTGCAGGACGTCCACGACGAAGAAGGGCCAGGATGTCCGTCATGCAGACGCTGGATCACGACTGGACCACCTACGGCCTCAAATTTTCCTTCGACGCTCGATGCCGACACCCCGTCAATTGCGGATCCTCGGGCTCCAAGTGACCTCGCAGCCGGGCTGCCCGGGTCACCTTGTTTTCCCGGGCGGTGCGGCCGTGCAAGGACCACGGAAGGTCCGAGCAAAAAAAAAAAAAAAAAAAAAAACCGAAAAAAAAACAATGTTATGCAGAAAAATAAACTGAACAGCTTTTGCCTCAGGGTCACATCGAAACCCTTTACCAAATTAAAAATAAATAGTCAATAAATAAAAAATAACAAATAAAATATATATTTAATTTTTAAATATTTTTTATTTTTATTTATGTACTCAGTGTTGCACACCCCGACCGTCGGCGACCTTTGACTGGTCGGCTTCCGACCCGCCGAACGGTCGGCTGGTCGGCACCTACTGGTCAGGGGTCGTCGGCACCCCGCAAAAAAAAAAAAAAAAAAGATTTTTTTTTTTTTGGGTCCAGAACCCCTAATAACCCCACGAACACCCCCATACCGACCCCAAATACCCCCATACACCCCCCCAACACCCACAAACC